TGATGGAGTACCTCAAAGTTTGATGCAAAAACGCATGATCGCACCGGCTCGCCTGGTGCGTTCTAGTCTGGGTTGCATTTCTCATCATTTTTTGAGAGGATTTTGCGAGCATTTTTTGCAGCAAATCGAATGAATTTCGAAGTTTTTATTTAACAACAATTTAAACAGAAGTTAACAAATTTTGGCGTCGCAAAAAAGTTCGTTTGCTTCGAATAGTGGACGCGTTACAACAGTTTGCCATCGAGATGGTCAGCTTCCTGATATGTCCTGGGATAACTGTTAATATCACTCTTATCAGCGCTAGACTTGATTTGATTTCCACCATTTCGATTCCTTTTGAATAAAAACGGTCCTTCATCAATGACCAAATCGCAACATCTGAATGTGAGTTATTTTTCAAAACTGAATAAGTTTTTTTCAAACAAGCCCGTATCGTTTAATTTTTTGGTGTATTTAAATGAGGAACGGAACCAAAATTATATCCTAAAAGAAAAGCCGATTTTGTATAAGTCTGATTTTTAGCAATTTTAGTAATTTTAGAAAAAGAAAACTTTTAGCAATTTTTTATAGAAATTTAGCCGAATGCATTCTATTAATTCCGACAAACACAGGGCACAGTTCAGACGGGCTGAAAGCAAGTGAACTTCGCGCATTGGTAAATATTCTCGAAAAAATAAACGACTACATTGGGTGGCTCGCAAAGTGCCGAAATAAATACATTAAGCAGGTGATTGTAATTGAAGGCATGCAGCTCAGGACCGAAAAGCCTGGCGTATCCTCATTGAGCTTTAGTGAGTATTCCCGTTGCAACATTAACATGAAATCGCCATACTAGTTATCTAAGCGATTTTTTTAAAATTTCTAGCCGATTTGATTTTTTCTATTTTCTTCTCAACTTATTTCAATTTCCTCCTTCAATTTCGATATTTCAATTCAACTTCGCCTCACATTTGCATTTTTTTTTCATTTTTTCGAGGAAATTTTTGTGGGCACTTTTTGCAGCAAATCGAATGAGTTTCAAATGAGACTAAAAGTGCAATTGGCTTAAATTTAAAATTAAATTCTGTTTATCAGAAAACCCGTGTATTGAGCAATGGTGCTGCAAGTACCGACAAACAAATTATGCTGCAGTCTATGTTTTATCCCTTAGCTGTGAACACAATAGGAGTCATATGTTTGAGTAGGAGTGGGAGTCTGCTTAAACTCTGTTGAATTTTAATTGTCCCTGTGCAATTTATTTGATCTTAACAACATTTCGATTTCTCAAAAATGCTTAAAAATTGAAAATCCTAAAAGCTTCTGCCGACCAAAACTCACCGTAAAGTGATTATGAAAAGGACGAGATAAATAATCAGCACCAAGTCAACTGTCATGGCAAAGCTTAACCACTGGAACAACGTATAAAAACCCACGTCAGCAACAAGTATATATAAAATTACCGAATATGCAGCGATTGTTACACTGAAACAAAATCAACATTTAGAAAATGCAGTATTTTTTCCCTTTTACCGTTTCCTACAACCTGGTCGTTTAGTGAGTAGCTATAACAAATGGTACCAACCAGGCAGCCGTTTCATGTTCTTCTAGATGTGAAATCAGTAATATTTCCAAATGTTTTCGCGAAGAGTCCTCGATATAAACACAGGCGGATCCAGGATTGTCGCCTGGAAAGGAAGGGGAAGGAGGGGGAGGAGGGAGGGAAAGGCCGAAAGGCCAGTGGATATAAACATCCGCGATGTAATCCAATATTTTGTGTGGGAAGGGCGATTTTACTTCTATGGACAAGTACATGATGAAAATTCATGGGAATTTTTCAAAATCAAATCAGACAATTTCCTGATTCAATAATTGGTACTATAAGACCAAAACTTTTTTTATTAGAAACACTATTGCTTTCTATTAGTAAAGTTTTTTATTAGTAAATTTTTTCTTATTAGGCCAAATTTTTTATTAGTAATTTTTTCTTTTATACTGTGATTGCTCAACTCTACAGCTGGCAAATTTTCCATTTGCTTTGACCAATGCTGCATCATCTATTGATCGGTAAGCTGGTGATTCTGGCGTTTATTTCGCATTTCAATGTGCTAACAATAAATTTTTTGATTTTTTTGAGTTTTTAAGACAATGACTACCACTTAATTAATCGTGCACTTAAATAAATAATATTTTCTTGTGATCAATTCGAAAATTTATCGCATGGGACTAATTTTTTTAAATATCTTCTTACCTGTAAATAAATCCCAGAACAAGAAACAAAGTATCAAGAATGATATGACCCGCAAATAAACAACGTAATGGGCACCAGATACCGAGCAAAAAAGGTATTGCTGCGACACATTCCGCTAAACACCAAAAATCCAATAGTGTCCTAAAAATAAATAAGACCGATTAATTT